CTCAACCACCGGACATCAGCGTGGAGGAGAAGGTCTCCGTACGCGGCATGGAGCTCATCCATTAACGCTTTGAATAAGCGGCGCTGAAGCGCTTTTGCTCTAATTGAGTTGATCAGTCTGACCACCACAGTCATAACATGATTAAAGTTCACAACCTTTCCCGCCAAAGCCTGCTGGTGAATGACACAGTGGTAATTTACAAAGTCGGGAAAATCGCTGTCATTACGGCACAATGCAATAAATCCAGAGCGCACGCCACGCATCGCTGGAGCTCCATCAGTGGTAACTGCCACCAGTTTGTCAATCGGGATGTCATTATCACAGACATATTTTTTAAATGCGTTGTAAATATCCTCACCCCTTGTTCTTTCCGTTAAATGCAAAATAGTGAGAAAATCCTCTTTCGTTGTAGAGTACAGGAACACCATCCTGACAAATACAACTAGCTGAGCTGTGTCCATTACATCCAGGGATTCATCAAACAGGAGTGAAAAATATTCACAGTGTGACAAATCTGTTAGCACTTGTCGATCCACGTCAGCTGACAGTTCTTCAACCCTCCGCGCAACAGTGTTCGGGCCAAGCTGGATACTGCGGAGCGCAGTTTTGATGTCATCTTTGTTGCTGAAGCTGTTGAAAACCGTATCTGCAGTGATGGCCATTGCCTCTTTGAATAAATCGCCATCTGTAAAAGACTTCTTGTGTTTAGCCAAAAGATGACTAATACGGAATGAAGCTTCAGTCGCAGCCTTATGTTGAGCAACAGGTTTTGTGAAAAGTGACTGCTGGGTCTTCAAACTCGCTTTCAGCTCAGCAACTTTTCTAGCGCGGATTGCGCTCTTGGCGGGGAAACTGTCTATGAATTTGACGTGGTTGGTGTTGTGGTGTCGCTCCAGATTTCCTCCTTTAGACAGCGCAACCGTTTGGTGGCACAGCATAGAAATACACTTGTTTTTCACCATGGTGAAAATAAATTCCTCTTCCCATTCCTCATGAAAATGATAAGTTTTCGACTTTTTTCTCGCAGCTGCCGCCATACCAGCTGACCACATCTGCTGACCCATCAAATGTCTGGCTTGTGAGCTAGTGCCATAAATTGTAATTTTGCGACAGTTAATTCTCAAGCTTTATTTTGTTATCGCGATCTACAGGGAATGTTTCAAAGATCTACCAGTCGATCGCGATCGACGGGTTGGCGACCACTGCTCTACACTAACAGCCCGGAACACGTAATATCCTTTCCAGTTTGCTAATTGAGCTATCCAATCCTGACTCATGGGGCACCGAAAATGGACTCAGACTGCCACCTAGTGGCTATAGTAGTCAAATGTTTTTCACGCAATTTGTGAAACACGCGGAGCGTGAGTGAAGTGTCCATTTCCAACCAATGCCCACTGTACACTGATGGGAACAGAAGAGACCTGCTGGAGTGAAACCTTTGCTGGTACCGCTGCGTTCAAAGGAACCAGACCACAGTCCATTTTCGCCCATCGTGGGACTGCAGATTTTACTCTTAATGGGTCATTTTGCCTTGTAGGTAAGCTGTTTATTACAGTTTTTTTTTATTGTGAAAGGATAAGCAAGAATTGATGGAGGGTTGAACACAAGCTCAATGGTGGAAAATGGTGAGTTATTGTAAGTGTGGGGCCAAACGTGTTGAGTTACTGTAGAACTGGCCACTTGAATCCTTGTGCCCAGGACCACGACAGTCTGGGGTGGAGAGTTAGTAGTTAGATGCTGATTTGTTTATCAAAAAGGAACTACATTAACTATTTTGCTGATGCTTTTATGACAAGCGTTTAAATTGTGTCTTTTTTTGAAGCCGCAGTTTCCGTCCCAAAGCTGTGAGTTTTTTTTCTTTCCTCTCATCTCTGTAGACAGAGCAGTTGGTGATGGGAGTATCTCCACAGTCGACAGACATTCAACTAGTGTTGATTTTAACCCTCTTTTGTCTTTAAAGTGTCAAAAACATTCAACAGGGATTTGTACCATACTAACATGTTAATGTCATATGGATGTTGTTGAAATATGAAGGAGTTTTTTGTTCAATGGTTATTAATGGAGAAGCTGTTATGCTGCCATCTGCTGTGTCTTCTGAGTACTGCAGCTGTATTGTACCGTTCTGAAAAACTAAATATAGCACACGCACGTTAAAACGCCTGTTCTCTTCAGATATCGTTAGATATTTCAGCAGCTGTATATTTTCAGTTCACTAAAAATGAGCCACTGGTGCTGTGAAAAACAGAACAAATAAAAATCCCTCTAGGAGAGGAGTTTTTAGACAGCTGGAGATAGGCACCAGGACCCAGCTTGGGATAAGAGTGACAGAAAATGGATGGATGGATAATCACATCTTTTACTTACTGACCTTTACTGGTTTGTCCATGCAACAGTCCTAGTAACATTAATATTCAAAAGAGGTAGGTTGTATTATATTTTAAAAATAGTTTTCATAAATCTGACTTCAAGTCACACATTTTTTAGTTGAGCCTGAATGTCAGAAAATGAGTCTGTTCTTCACATTCAGAGTTTTCCATACACACCCTTGGTATTTGCTGGGATAGCCTCTAAAACAGGGGTCTTCAAGGTTTTCCAGGCCAAGGACCCCCAAACTGATGGTGAGATAGAGCAGGGACCCCCTAATTATATATATTGTATGAAATTGTGTTCTATCAAACTGGTCCTATAGTTACTCTATTACATATGGAGTCATGTAACGAAAGTAATTTCTCCCTGGGATTATTAAAGTATTTCTGATTGTGATTCCTGGTTGATGGGACAGGTGTTGTGAATGAAACGGTGCCCAGCTTGAAAGAGCTCCTGTGTGTCTCTGAATGTGTGCATTGATGACTGAAAGACATCTTCTGCCTCCATTTATCTGTTTACTACAGTCTGTTGAATTCATGTTAATGTGGATTTAAAGACATTTCAAGTAGTGGAAAAAATTGCAGGGGGGAATAAAAAAAAAAGAGTTATCAATCAAAACCTTTGCGACCCCCATGCAGTACCTCTGTGGACCCCCTGTTAAAGACCTCCGCTCAGTTAAGGTTAAGGTAGGCTAAATTTATTGCCAACATTTTCAGATTAAACATTATATATTTAGCTGAGATTTATGAGTAGGTTATAACGCTTCATAAGTAGAACAAAGGAAATTTTAAGATCCTAATTATTTTCAAAATACATTATTGTATTCAATAAATTTGTGCAACTGCTAAGGCCTGAAAATGTTAGAGAAAAGCACCCTCTGGGGGTTATGTCATGTCAATAAATTTAATACTCCCAATTCTATTTTAATCTGAATGTAAAAAGGTTAAAGGTTGTCCTCCGTGCTTTAGATGCATCTCTTCTTCAGCACACCTGAATCAAATGATTGCATTTCCTCCTCAGCAACATCCTGAGTGATCAGTAAACTCGGCCTTTCAGGTTTCTCAATTCAATTCAGTTAATTTTTCCAAAGACAACTCAATCAGATAAAATACAGTCAGATTGGTAAAAAGTTTTCTATCTAATGAGACCCTGCCGATTGCATTCAGTCATTGACTTTGCAGGGTTTGCTCCTCTAGAAACAGCAGACTTTTGCTTGCATTGTGTCGTTGACTCTACAGCAATCCTTCAAACCGAGCATGAATTCAGCGACAACAGAGGATTAAACCTCCAGTAGAACCAGGCTCAGTGTGAGCGGCGGTCTGCCGACGCTGACTGGGGGTCCAAGGAGAGGAAAGCAGACATAGATAAAGAGCATAGAAGCACTGATTCTCCTGGAGCAGCTAAGGCCCTTGGTCAGGCCCTTCACTGATCCACTACAGTTCGCCTACCAGCCCCGCCTGGGAGTTGAGGACAGTGCCTTCAACACCATCCGCCCGGCTCTACTGGGAGAGAAGATGACTGCGATGCAGGTGGAGGCCCCCATCGTGTCCTGGATTGTTGATTACCTGACGGGCAGACCAAAGTATATACGCCTACAGAACTGTGTGTCTGACAGGGTGGTCAGCAACACTGGGGCCCCTCAGGGGACTGTCCTCTCCCCCTTCCTCTTCACCCTTTTCACCTCGGACTTCAACTATTGCTCTGAGTCTTGCCACCTTCAGAAGTTTTCTGATGACTCAGCAATTGTTGGCTGCATTGAAAAGGGTGAGGAGAGTGAATACAGGACTGTGGTGGGCAACTTTGTCACTTGGAGTGAGCTGAACCACCTGCAGCTGCATGTGACAAAGACTAAAGAGCTAACAGTGGATCTGAGGAGGACAAAAACACCTGTGACCCCTGTTTCCATCCAGGGGGTTCCTGTTGACACTGTGGAGGAGTATAAGTAGCTGAGAGTGTACTTTAACAATAAGTTGGACTGGACTAGAAACACAAAAAGGGCCAAAGGCGATTATTCTTCCTGAGGAGGCTGAAGTCCTTTAACATGCTGAGGATGCTTATGAGTCAGTTGTTGCTAGCACGCTCTTCTTTGCTGTCACATGCTGGGGCAGTGGGTTGAGGGTCGCTGAAAACAACAGACTGAACAAACTGATCAGGAGGGCCAGTGATGTTGTGGGGGAGGAGCTGGACACCCTGACCACCGTGGCAGAGAGGAGGATGCTGTCCAAGTTTCAGTCCATATTAGACAATGACTCACATCCTCTCCAAGACACACTGGTCCAGCAGACGAACTCCTTCAGCAGAAGACTCCTCCTACCCAGATGCACCACAGAGCGTCACAGGAAATCATTCCTACCTGTGGTCATCAATCTCTATAACCCCTCCCCTCAAGTTATTAAGACCCCCCCTGAAATTGACATTTATGCACTATTTTTGCACGCACCTATCACTTTACTTGGATATTCACTTTATTTAGATTTAGTTTTTACATATGCATAGATATACATACATAAATATACAGAAGAGCTATATGTGTATATTTTTTTATCTTTTTTATTTTGATTTTTATATTCATTATCTTGTGTAGTTGGATGTGTGTATATATACATATAAAACTGTAACTGGAGCGTGTAACAAAAGTAATTTCCCTCTGGGATTATTAAAGTATTTCTGATTCATGAATACTTTCTATGTTAAAAAAGGTCAAGTTAAACTAGCTCCATTAGTGGCTCTTTCTAGGAAAGCAACAGTCAGCCTGATGAGGTCTGACTCAAGTTTTAATATCAGAAAGTATGGAAGAGAGCACTCCAGCATGTTGGAGAGAAATAGAGGAGCCATGTTTCTCCTCCTTAGCGGTCTCTGTGCTCCGTCCTCTTCTTCAGCTCCTTCATCAATGAAAGCAAAGCGTCCTCAGAGTCTGAAACTGTCTGCATGTGATGCCTCTCTAGTCAGATAACAACCAACATACCTCCAAACACGTGTGGATGGACTCTGTTCCAATGTGATCCGGCTGCTAGAAAACTGCTCCCATGTTCAACCTGCTTTCCCTGCAAAAAGAAGACAAATGAATTTCCTAGAAACCAAGTTTAAATCTGGGCAGGATGTTGTTTTCATCATAATCCTGGTCTTTCTGTGTTTCAGTGACTGTTAGCTTTTAATCAGGCCTGGGAAGCTTGAGTTGTCGGTTTGTGGTGTTAATAAAGTCTTACTCCATGTGTTTTCTGTTCCAGTCTTTCTCTGTGCCGTCCTCAGGTGGGGACTGGGAAGCTCCTCACCATCCTGGATGTCCCGGTTCCTCACAGAAGTTCTGCTTTTGGACGTCCACAGTGTCTGAACATACATGAAAAACTAAGTGAGGCCACCTGAAATGTTAACTTTCTATTTAAAAGATGGATTATTGTTGCTCCTTACTGAACATGCTCTCACTCTTTGTAAAGGTCAGCAGCCCAGATGATCCTCCTCTGGTTCGGTCGCTGCAGATCTCATCAGCATCTTCTGATGGCCCAAAGCTTGGAGAGGCTCGGTCCAACATGGGATTCAAAAAACACAGAAGAGATCCACTGCGGTCAGAACAGGCCTAGATCATATGAAGAATATTTCTGCAGAGGGTTCTTTTCCCTCAAAGTAGGCCTGAAAACTAACTGACCAGAGGAACATCTAGAAGTAGACCAAGTCGCATCTGAAAGCTGTTTCTAACAGTCGGCTCCTCTCACAACCCAAATCCCTACATCAGTCCTGTCCTCTGTCTCAAACTGCTCTGAAATCAGTTTGTCCCTCCAAGCATCGTCTCTTTACCTTCTCACCAACATCCCAGAGACCAGTTCCACTGATGACCACCACAGGCTGTGCCACTGTTCCATTCTAGATCCAGTTTGTCCCCAGCAGCATCGTCCTACTCTAGATAATCTGTCTCCACTACAGCCTTGGCCCTCTGCCTATAGACTTTAGGTGACCTCAACTCCATTTTTAGACCTTTAAGATTTTTCTTTGACCTCCTGCGTTGTCCTCAGCAGTGATGTCCAGCTGCTCCTTGGATTGGTTTGCCTGCTCGTGGTTCATCTGTTTTCAACCAGGATTCATTTTTTGTCTTTTGGTGTTTTTATTTTTTGTTCATTTGCCTCCATGCTGTGTTTCTTCTTTTCAAATCTGGTTCTTTTATCAATCCTTTGATTGTGTTGCCTTCTGTTAGCTGGCAGACTGTCCAGCTCTGACATAAGATGTAGAGCATGCTAGATTATGTCTGCCTTAGCCAGCTCTCATGTTCCACACCTTTTTTAAATGGTTGTCATGTCCTCAGTGCCTGCTCAGATGTCAGTGCTAAACGAAATTTCTAACATCTAAAACTTAAATCAAAATCTAGCAGCGGGGTAAATAAAAGCCACGGTGCAAGACGCTACCTAAGGCATCCCTAGACCTGCCAGACTCCTTAATATCTATAAAACTCAATCTAGCAGCAGGGTAAATAAAAGCCACGGTGCAAGACGCTACCTAAGGCATCCCTAGACCTGCCAGACTCCTTAATATCTATAAAACTCAATCTAGCAGCAGGGTAAATAAAAGCCACGGTGCAAGACGCTACCTAAGGCATCCCTAGACCTGCCAGATCCTGCCAGAATTCCTCTTCTTAAACATCCCTGTCATGACAAAGCCTCTTCCAGGGGAGCTCCTCTTCATCGTCTTCCTCTCTTCTCCTCCTCCTGGAGACGCGGTCTTCTTGGCACTCCAGGGACTCTTCTGGCTCTTTGTGGTTCCACGGGAGTCTGAAGTCGGGGGGAATCCTCTGGGTGAACCGAAGATGTGGGGGAAGGTGGTCATCGTCTTCACCAGAAAAAGACCTGACTTCGTCAAAATCATCATCTAGCCCCTCAAAAGGCCACATCTCCGCCTGCTCATACTCGTCCACCACTAATCCTTCCACTTCTACCTCCTCATAGTCAACCCCTATTTCTTCTACTTCTATCTCCTCATTGTAACCGAGGAACGGATCTGTGACAATATGAAAAACATATTCATCACCTTGATCCTCTATCCAGAACCAGGGCTCCGGGTCCGGATCAGCAGGAAGCACGACGTTTGGAACTGTGAGGGAAAAAAACCCATTAGACCAGGAACAATAATTAAGGAAAATTAAATGAAAAAAACTAAATGCTTTATTTTAGGTTGCTGGATGTGCCTGTGCGAGTTTTTCAGGTTAAATAGATCTAATCAATAAGACATATAAACAATGCTAACGGTTTGGTTAGTGTTAAAATAAAAAATATTAATATATATGTATATATGTGTGTATATGATTGTGTTGCCCTGTCTCTGCATCAGCCTGAGGACTGATTGTTGTAAAGGGGGACATTTTGCTGGTCTTTGCCAGCTATCTTGCTGGTGGCTAAGTTTATCAAAAAAAAACTCCAATATTCATTAAATTACAAGACTACAATTAAATTGTACGTTTATTTTAATGTAAATGTTTATTTCACTAAATTTCATTGTCAGAAAGTTATAAATACAATAAAGATTAGCTCTAAATGGTCCATTTATTTAGTTTATTTCTACCACGTCCCCTGCTATTAATCTGCATCAGTGCATCCTAGAGTAGAAATAAAGACCTTAATTAACACACAGAAAGCTCAGAGCAGAAATGGACATTAGCAAACTTAATGACAAACTATTTAGAACATTTTTCTTTTTCTAAAAGAAAGGGGATCCTATACAGAACATTTCATGGTTCAGAAGAAACCATCCAGTGTTAAATGTTTAGAAAATGATAGAGTCCTCTATGAACAAACTATTATTACTGATGACAGATGGGATTAAATGATTTACTTTCACCTGAAGATCCAAACAAGGGCTGCAGGAAAAAAAAAAAAAAAAGCACTGGTTAAAAACGCATCATTTCCTGAACACATTCCTCTGATTCTTGGGAATTTGGTGAAAAACAGTTTTAATTTTGAAAATAAAAATTTAGTTAAATTACAAAATCTGAAGGTATATAGTTCTAGACCAAGGTCTTGGCTGCTCAGCAATGTACCGGTGCAACCTCCTTGCTTTGTTTTTTTTTTCATAATTATGATTTATTTTTTCCAGTTATTACTTTGTTTTTGTCAACACCATCAGACACAATAAAAAGAAAATTATTATTTATTTATTTGGTCTATTATGTATTTATAGTTTTGAAATCATTATCTGGAATTGTTAGTACACATATATGCTGTTAAATGTTAAATATTTACTTTTGTTTAATTTCTATACTGTTTCACAAGTAGTCCTTTAAAAGATCTAACATCATATGATGTTTACTTTAAGCCTAAATAGAAAACGTCATGTTTTTTTATTCTACAAACATATTTTTGTGTTAAAATAGACTATTACTTTAGTGACTCAACAGCACTGAAGAAACATATTGTAAGCATATTCATTTAAAACAAATAAAAAGCCCTCTGACGGTAGTGACTTTAGAACTGACGGTGGTGACAATGGCCTCATTACAACATCCAATTAAAACTGTATACAACTCAAGTCAATGGTTTCTCGCTTATTAACTTTATTTAACTATTTGAAACTATTGAAAAAATAACAATCGTGAGCACTGTGACAAACAGTTTTCAAGGAATATAAGGTACAATTAAGCAATATCATTATTAGAAGTACCCCATCCCCATATCATCAAATATCAAATCATCATAGTAAAAAATAAAATAATTACCAGTAGGAATAATGTACAATGCATCACTGAGATCATCTTAAACTGTGGTCTAGTGTCCCCTACTCCTGCTAGAGCCTGTCTACTCCAAGCTGGCTCGTTCATGGCCTGATCCACTGGACCGTCTGGGGCATTTTCTGGGTGATCTGAGCCCTTTCTCTTACATTCGCTTGATACTTATTGTCTACTTTTCCAAGCCTTTCTCTGACTTCTCTTTTCCCTTTAATTCAAGTAATTGATTGAATTGAGTCATTGATTATTTATCTTCCTTTCCTTCACCACCTTCTTCCATCTTTGCCTTTGCGTTCTGAGTTATTCCTCCTTTAACTCTGCATCACTATATTTTTGTCTCTATGCTTCTTTTCATATTCCCTGTTTCTTCTCCTCCACAAATAGCTGGTGCCTAGCCATAACTTTCTGAAATACATAAAGTCAAAGTTGAGTGTAATGACTATGAAATTGGGGGTAATTACAGTAAATGTTAGATTTGGTTAAATGTTGCCATGCCATTTTTATTAGGCTTTAGTCATAGAAGATGCACAGCTTACAAGGGATAATGTTTACTATGTGCTATGTAGGTAGGTAGTAGGCGCACTATGTCCATCCCAAATGACGTAAGCCAAATGAACATGGCATAATAGTGAACTGAGAGAGAGGGAAGGCAGACCTCATCCCCTACATATATAAACATGAATAAAAATATAAAAGAGGTTAATGAAACATTACAGATCAACAATTATATTCTAGCCTCCATTGAGGACCATTTGTAGGTTTTTTTTCACCACCGTCAGACTGTATGTCACCACCTTCAGACAGAAAACCTGCGGTGGAGACAAAAAACGACTCTTTTGAATGATATGCATGAGTTGTTCACATCAGCCATCTTGTTTCCCCGTCTCTGTTGCTAGCTGCTTTACACCTCTTCTTAAAAAGTAAACATTTATGTCATAATCTAAACTTATATTTTTTATACAAAAGAGACGGTGTTGACATGTTATGGTTGTGACATTAGCAGAGTCCAAAGATATGAACAAATTAAAGAGAACATAGCACACTTACAGGAGCTTGAGTGAACTTGAAGCATGCAGTAGAGCTGAACATTTGAAAATGGGCTCATCAGGAATGTAGTTGACCTTTTAGTTCCAAGATTTTATTGCTTTTTATAAATGTCTCACGGTGGTGGCAAATATGTGGGACACATTTTAAGCAATCACAAAATAATAGTAAATATTATTCAAAAGTTCTAAATACATATTACAATGTACTCTTTCATTTGGTAAACATGTTACTCAATTCAATTATTACTTTTTCTTATTTAATCAAGTTGAAATGATTATCTCGTATCCAAGGACAACTGATTTTATAGGCAATGGGCCAGCATATAATCATTAAAGTAATTTCTGAAAAAATAAACATTTCAAAGAAGCTTACATATGTGCAAATGACCCCCTGATTATAACCTTGATTCTTTTTATCTATGAAAATGTTATTTATCTCCAACAGAATTAGAGCTTTTCTTAGTGGGACATGTTTTTGCCAAAGTTTCAAGAATCAGTGATTTACTAAAATAAGCAACTTGAAAATCTTCACCTCTTCTTTTTTTTTTCAGCTAAAATTCAGTCCACTTCCAAAATACTACGCTTTATTAAATAGGAAAATAAACAGTTTGGCTTGATAATATATTATGTTAAATGTCCTTCAAATGCCTCTTTTTATTTATTTAATGTATTTTCACTAACATTTCCATATAGGGCATTTTTTTTTAAATAATATAACATCTAGTTTTCAAACATTTCACATAAAATTCAATAAAGGTGTTTCTCTGAAACAAAAATATTTTTTTTTCAAATAATTAAACGGCTGCTAACATTCCTGACAAATTATTTATTAAAAAACAAACCAAAAAGAAAACAGGAGAGTCTTGATTCTCAAACTTTCACTATTGATCAGAGGTTTAATGTTGAATCTATGACCACAAAGAAACTACAACTCTGATTTGAGAGCTGATCTGAACAACCTGGCCACATGTCAACCAGGGGCGCCTCTAGAAATGTTTCATAGGGGTGGCCAGATGGGGCCTCTTAAATTCTTAGGGTGGTACAAAGAAACATAATTTCAGGGTTTTATTCTACTGCTGTGGTAAAACTGCCTGTGGAAAACTATCATAAAGATCTAAGTAAACACCTACTCATATCTTTTGGCTTATTGTGTGATTATTTATGTTACTACTTATCTAATGTGCACAGACATAGACCAGTTAACATTTTGAGTTGAACAATAGTTGTGTTTTATTTATATTTGAAATAAGTTGTACATTTATTCATTTTTTGAAAACTAAAAATGACTGCTGGTCCAGGAACAGGTGGAACACCTGCTTTCACTGAGTTCTGCCAGGCTTCTGTCATCAAAGCTGCTGACTGTCCCTGGTCTGCTGCTGTTTGATGCTTTTCCTCATCACTGTTCTTTACTAATGCTGCTCTGTGTCCTCATCATGCTGCTGGATCTGTTTCTCTCCTGCATCCTCCTTCTCTCTCCTTATCCTCCTCCTCCTCTCTCTTCTCCTCCTCCATCTCATCTTCCCCTACTCCTCCATCCTATTTCTCTCTCCTCCTCCTCCTCTCTCTTCTCCTCCTCCTCCTGCTCCTCCTCATTGGTTATCTGTTGCTCCTGTCATCTCTTTCTCTGCTTCTGCTGTCTGTGAACTTTGTCTTCATGTGTGAAAATTGTCAAGCCATCCACAATCACCAACTCATCCAGTTAGCTACATAACTCTGTCAAAAACACACTAAAAGCTGCTTTAACAGTATAATGTTACAGTTCACATATCACCCTTTTCTTTCACAAACAAATTATTTGACTAATTTACCTATTGTTAGTTTTATACGTGGTCAGGGCATAGCCAGGGGTGGCCGTGGCCACCCTCGGCCACCCCTGGCGGCGCCCTTGGTCGTTGCTAAGTGCTTCTTGGTCCCAATGTAATTTCCCATTGGGAACCTACCAGCACTAAGTTGCTAACTGGTTAGCAAGATGCTTCTGAGACACCGGCCACAACCAAACATGCTTGGGAACCTTCCGCCACAACAATCGGAAATGCAACGTTTGGAACAGCCTTGGACTTTAACATGGGGCCATCCTGTCACTGTACATGCCGCTGTTGTCTGGGCTTTTTCAGGTCAAATTATATTCTGGCAGGGCTTCCCTCGGTCACTGGTCTGCTTCATGCCTTTTATGGACAGGAACTCTAGGCGTAGCCAAGGGCCAGTTGGGTCCAGTTTGTGAACCAGCAGATATTGTCTCTGCTTTTTGAAGATGACATGGTTCGTTGTGTTCAAAGCCAAGTGCGTAGCAGCCGGGATGAAAATGAGCTC